ACATTGTGACACTGTTTGTGCCTTTGTGGCTCTGTCCGGGAAAGGGGGTGATGCTTTTTGGATAACAGGGAGCAAGAGAGACTTTGGGGCGTCTTCCCTCTGTCGCAGGCTCCTCATCCCCTGCAGGCACTCAAGGGAAGATGCTCCAGGGTGGCACTGAGAGCAGGCGCTGGTTTAGGACATACCAGGCTTGGCCGTCGTTGGTAGGTTCATTGCTCAGCTGCCACCCCTGGAAAATGGGAGCAGGTGCCCTCAGGGACACTTGGGGTCTGGCCATGGTGCCAGCAGCTCCGCAACGGTGAGGAGCTGGGCACGGTCCTGGGGCAGCCCGTGGTCCGGTTGGGAAGTGGCCGGAGAGCTGAGAAGGGAACCGTGTCCAGGGAGAAGGGCAGAGGATGGGGGAGAGGTTCTGCTTTCCCCTCTCCTTGCCAGGATGCTCCTCGCCTCCATCCCTCTGCAGAGCCGGCGGAGCTCGTTGGTGAGAGCCTTTGTCTAATGGAATAAATCCAGGACGCTGAGCCCGCCAGGGGATCTATATTTGTGATGAAACCTGCGCTGGCCCCGTCCATCGCTCCGTGCCTAAAGCCCTGCCACCCATCCCGCCGTGTCCGTCCCTGGCCGTTGTTCCCTGCCATACAGGCTGCTTTGGGACGCGTTACCGCTGCTCCCGCACGCCCCCGTGGCCCGGTTGGGATCCCGCTCGCTTCCCACCGCGCCGGCATCCGGGCGATGGATGGAGCTGCCGGCGAAGGGAGCGGTGCCCTTGCAGAGCCCTGAGGAACGCTCCGAGTAAGCCGTGCGCTCCCTCCCCTGCTCCATCCTCATGAATATTTGAGCTCTGAAAATTAACATTTGTCATGAAGCATTTACTGGAGCAGCGTGGGTTTTTTTTCTCCGCAGACCTGCCAGGCTCCTGCAGAAACTAGGGCAGCGTTGGGAAGCCGTGGCAAAGAAATCCGTGCGTTGGGACAGGGTGAGATGTGGTGGGCAGCAGCCTTGAGCTTTCCTTGCAGGATGACCGAGCCAAGGCCACGGGAGAGAGACAAATGAGATTTTCCCCCTGGTTCTTGGCACAAAGTAAAATGTCCCTTTTGTTTGGTTCCTCCTCCCCCTGCCCCGTCGCTTTTCTTTAAATGCTGCGTTCCAGGTTTCGACAACCCGCGTTGTGGGGTGGCTCTGGCCAAACCGCGTGGGCACAGGCCGTGTCCCGCGGAGCTGGGTCTACATCGGTCCTCAAGAGCTTGACCACAAGCTGCTTCCTTAGGCCCGAGCAAATCTCCTTTGGGTCAGGCATCGTAGGGTGCATTCGCCAGTGAGTGGGAACACAGTTGGAGCAAGGTGAGCTCGGACCAGCACCCGGACTCTGTGGCAGCTCTTGATTGCTGCTGAGCAAGAGTTTTGTAACTCACAAAAATTCCTGAGTCCCCCCAAATCCCGTCTCTCAGAACTATATGGGAAGGAGGATCTAGAGCAGATAAATCCCATGGACTTGGGAGGTCGGCACTTTGCAACTCACTGTGCAGCATCCAGGGCTCTCCTGCAGCAGCGTGTGGTTCTGCTCTTCTGAGGAGCTTCTGAGAGATTTGGGGGTGCTTTGGCGCTCTCCTTGTGCCTGTTCCTTCCCCTTCCCATGTGATTTATTTGCACACTATGAGGAAGCCGGCATTGGAAGTGAGATAGGGAGTATTTGGAAGTGAGCCCGGTGGCCGTAATAACTCAGGGCCTAATTGACGCGATCTGGGGGGTCTGTGCCCACTTGCCACAGAACAGGCACCCAAAAAGAAAACGCAGCTCCCAGGATAGCCCCAGTAACACCCAGAGAGCAGGCGAAGGCAGGACAGACTCCCGGGAGATGGCAGTGCCAGATCTAGCCGGGGATGTGAATCCAGCGGGATAGAAGGGACCCGTTTCCTGGCGATCCCACAAGCATGAAAACAGCAGTGGGAATTTCTTTGCTATAGGAGGGCTTGTTGCTGTCGTTGGGCCCCACCAGATCCCGGTGACGTGTGTGTGTGTGGGAGCAAAGCCGCTTGCAGACGCAATTTGGGGCTCTTTATTCCATTCCCATTGGCCGGGATGTTTCCCTTCCGGCTCCGGCCGACATGGAGCCCTCTCAGGGAATGATCCGTAGCTGGCTCAAGGCAGAGGGGAGGCGGGGAAGAGACGCTGCCTCCTCTCCATCACTTCCATGCATCCTCCGACGTGGATCCTGCCTCCTCCAGGCCATCCCGGGTGGCTGCTGGAGCTCCCAGGGAAAGCAGGACACAGCGTGACCTGCATCCCGGCTATCCGGGGAGGAAGAGGAGCACTGGAGCCGTTGTGCTAGTACGGGGGATGCCACGAGGGCGCGCGTGTGTAAACAGGGATGTCACAGCAGGGGCCAGCAGTAACGGGAATGTTTCCTGGCTGCGGCGGGCGCATCCCGCTCGCTTAGAGATGCCCTCCTGCTGCGTCTGTTTGAGCGCTGCTTTTCGCTCTGCTCGTGAAGGTGGGGTTAGTTCTGCTGCTGTGCGCTCCCGCTTTTCCACCGAATTTCCCCATTCAAAGACATCCCCGGGCATCAAATCCGATCGCGGGGCAGCACG